CGCCCTCCCTCCCGCCCTTCCCCCATTTGCCCCTCCACTTTACCTGTGTTTTTCCTGAGGGCGAAGGCCCCATGATCTCGGTGACGCGTGAAAAGGGAAGGCCATAGAGGCTGTCACTCAAGAGGTGATCAAGGCTGTTTGATCCAAAACATATACCAAAATGAGGAGAGGACGATTGCAGCCGTACAAGAATCGTTCCCTCTTGTTCTCTACCCCTCTTTCATGACACGTGCTTGCCCAGCCGTCCTCCCCTCCCTTCCCCCCGTCCTCACTCACCCCTTGACACCCGTCCCAAGGGCCACTCCTTCCCCTAGTCCCATGCTCTCGTGTTCCAAATGGCTCCAGGCGCTCTCCACGCCTGGTAAGACCAGCCTCCTGCGCTTTCTTTTCCCACCTTCCGGGCCACTATCGCCTGCTCGTCTTCCTTGTTCGCTCTCTCCTCCCTCGCCATCAGGGAATGGGTAGACTGAAGAGTGCAGGTAGGGCTCAGGACAAGTCTTCTGGGCGACTGCGACTTGAAGATATTGTAATGCCTGTCGAAAATTGGTAAGTAAAAGAGGTCCATGCACTGAGTAATGGAAACTATACTCTGGAACAAAGGAGTGCGCATCCCTTCGAATAACCCTGACCCCTGCTGTCGCATAAAGACTCTTCCTTTTCCTACTGTCGCCTTCATCATTTTTCCCCCAAAAAAGATGATGTTCCCCAATAAGTTCCCTTCTCTCTCTCCCACTTGCGTTTCCTTCCCCCTCTGGTTACCTGCTTGTCTAACTCTCCTACTTTGCCACTCCCGCATCCTACAGGCGCCTTCATGAAGAGCTCTTCGGCAGTTTCCACATCTGGACCCAAAGCCGCACAAGTTTGAGGAGTCACCCCTAACGCTGCAAGGCGCGGCATTCCTCTTCGTCTTTGCCGAGAAGTGTGGAGAAATGTGTATCGGAGGGTAAGACTCAAGGGCGGCAAAAGAGCTCTCGCCACCGTGGAACAAAAAGGAGCGAACGCTTTAAAAGGAGCTTCAGCGAGGGAAGTCTGTCACAAAGTTTCCCGGGCATTTTCGACTTCTTAGCTGCATAGGTAGCTTGGACAATTACGGGACTGCTGTGGGAATCTTGAAAGAATCAGTTGCTACAAGCAACGAAATTCTGGGTCTGAAGACAGCGCTTTACCAATCTTTTCGTAACCTCCTCTCTCCCAGCCTGTGCGCGTGGACAAATTTTGTGAAGCTCGAT